GAGCTTACATGACAATATCATTTTATCTCACCTGCATCTGGTCAGGCTGTATGACAAGAAGCCCCTGCAGAAACAAAATATGTCATCAAAACATTGTCACATTGCTTTAGTTAACTCAAATATATCAGTAGTCGGTTTTATCACCAAACTTACAAAGTTTCCATCCATGTTGGTGGCTTGCAGAGTCCATCTTGAACCCTTTAATAGAGATGCAGAGCTTAGCACAGTTTCCACAGCCTATAATTGATGTTGCCTTTTAAAAACAAGAGTAACTTACCTTTTGGTCAAACAGGGTCCAGAACATCGGAAGTGGGATGTATAAAAACAGGACCTTCAGCACCATTTTGATTTGAGCAATGAGGAGTTTCTACAGCACATAGACAGAAAATCAACTGCAATTCACCCCACTGAAAAAAACACTTGTTAGAAACTTTAGAGAACTCATTTTAAAATGCAACTCACTTCATATTTTTCCTCTGACCAGTCCATCCAATGCTGCCTCTTTGGGTATTGTTTGCTTCTGTGTTTGTAGCGATTTTTAATGGCAAACTGATTGACAGTTGAAAAAGGGATAACATATGTTTGTTTTTTCAAACACAGCTAAAGCATCGGTCGTTATACATGAATGCAAAAATGTTTCAATGCAAATGTTGTAAACCAGACTCACCCCGATACATTTACACACGGACCCCATGATGTTTCCCTGTGGTTCAGCTTTGTAGTACATACCACTTCCAACGATAAACACCACTGTAAAGGGCATCACAGTCACATCATCATTATCAGTGCCTAGTTTGCCATGTATAGAATCTGATTTTAAATAATTTAGACATACCAAGTGCAACCACCATTAGTGCTGCAGGGACACCGAAGGCCAGAGAATAACACTTCTGCTTACTGTAGATGCCACAGTCCTGAGCTGCAGATACATAACCATCATTAAACTACAGTTCAAATCACTCATACTCAAGGACTGTTATTAGATGTTATCAAATGCACTCATGTTTATGTTTTCTCAGAAACTTTAGGATCTGTTCATATCTACCTCTCAGGATCGGAGTGATAATGGTTGACAGGAGACTCCCACCATTGATGCACAGGTAAAATACGGAGAAGAAAGTTCTCCTTTGCTTTTCCTGCACAGAGAAATGTCAGTGATCTTCATGTGTTGCATGGATGTTCTTTATACAATGTGTAACATCTTTCCAATGTTATATCTGTTTATGATATTAAATGATTCAATCAGAAGAAATTATAAGCTGCCACTGATAAGACTTTAGGGACGGATATGTCCAGACCGAGGTATCTCTATTGGATGGTTTGTACTGACATGTTGTACAGAAATTTCTCCAGAGGACAAATACTAAGGGAATTTGGTCATTTGATGACTATTAATTTGGTATTGCATGAATTTGTAATTTGTAATTTTGACACAACTATTGGAAGGTTTGTCATAACATTTAGTGCACTCAATCATAGACCTTTGGGCAGCTTTGATTTTGCATTGCACTGATTGCTGATTTTCCCATTTTTTGCAGACAAATAATAAGATCAAATATATCAAGTAACAGTAACTTCGTTGTCAAAACCTGGCTCCTGCATTCCTCACAAAGCCCCTTGACTGCAGGAATTTCCTTATTTGGGCGCATTATTCTAGTAACAGCAAATGTAGCTTAAAGTCACCAGCATCAAGAAGGGATGGACCAGACCAGCATCATGTCATCCAAAACTTGGTTTTAGGAATTAAAATACATTCCTCACTCCCTCCCTCCCACACACACACACACACACACACACACACACACACACACACACACACACACACACACACACACACACACACACACACACAATCAGCCTAAGCTGTTGTTTCAACTAATTCTCAAATCTATGACATTCAATACAACACATTGTCATTGTCAAGACCAGAGTTAAACATTAGCGGAGAAGGAGAAGTGTTCTAACCTGATGGTTACCAAATTGGTCTCCACCAAAGGCAGCAACACAAGGTTTAATGCCACCAGTGCCCAGAGCGATGAGGAGGAGACCCACCATGGACAGCACGCTAAATGTGAAGAGCAGAGAGTACCATAGAAATAATTATGTGAGTAATATTTGCCTGCCAAAATCCCACATCCTGTACTTAATATGTTGTGTAGTTGAATAGAAACCCACACATGAAAGGTCATGTTGTCTGGTGTCCCGTCTTTGTCATAGTCAGTGATGTCATGGATTGCACTGATAGCCATTGTAACCTGGCCGATCGCATACACAATGGACAAGTAGATGATAGTCCTGCAAAGAGAAGATGGAAAGAGAAGCAGCGTGGAGTTAGTGCATAGTAGTAACCCACTAGTTGTATTAGGTTTAGCTACTTAATAAGTTACTTAGTTAAGTCTAGGGTTTAAACCTAAGGATTGCAATTTGTATTTTGTCTTTGTTCTTTATTAACTGAATTGAAAAGTTATTCAATGAGACCATCTGAGAAGTTGAAATGTAAAACACAACTCATAGCAATTTTAAAAGTAGCAAGAAGCACTAATTAAACAATATTTTTTATAAAGGGTCAAAGTGCACTATTTTTAAATGTTGTGGAGGAGAATTACAAAGTAGAAAAATGTATATACTCAGGTAAAGTATAAGTACACCTATTTCTTACTTAGTAAAAGTACTAGTTAGACCCTTTCCACCACTGACAGATAGTAATCCACTGATTTCTTGCATAGGTTTAATGACACATTTTTTAAACTCACTTAAACTTTCCCAGCCAGGAGTCAGCCACAATGGCCCCGAGGATGGGGGTCAGGTAGCAGAAGGCCACAAAGACGTGGTAGATGGAGGTGGCCAAGTCATCGTCCCAGAGCAAGAAGTACTTGAAGTACAGCACGAGTACAGCTGTGGACAGGTAGGTGAGATTATTCTTATTTCACAATGCAACACGATAAGACTGCACAGGGTCAGCTCTAAAACATATCTGGTCATGTTGTGCATGAAACATCAAGTGGCAGAAAAATAACTTAGATATTTAATTGAATAAAAGTATCTATACCACGGTGTAGAAATACTGTGCTACAAGTTAAAGTCACAAATGAAAAGAATGTTAGCACCAACAAAAAACTCTTAGCCTGTATACTAAAATTAACCATTATTTTACAATAGCCCTTTTAAAAAGAATGTCGAAACATATCATCAGATTATGATTTTTGATGCAGTAATGTGTACATCATATATGTAATACTGCGGGATCATTCTTCTTTTTTAAATAAATATTTTCATTTCATTTATCTTTTTCGAAGTCTTGAGACTTTATACTTTATATTACTTTATAGGAAGTTTTATTTATATGATTATATCATCATTTTTATGATTATATTTTATATCATTTTAATCTGCATCCTCGAAGCAACTCATATGTTATCAAATGAATACACTGTCATACAAAGTACAGAGTTTGCCCCTGTAATAAAGTGGAGAAGTACTTCATCAGGTAGCAGAACATGTAAATACTCAAGTATTACCTTCAAAATGTTACTTGAGTCAATAACTTGTTTTTCAAAGCAGCAAATATCCAAACACTCAAAACAAATGTATTACGTTTTTCGAAATCCCTTTGAAAAAATACAACAGTTTTCTGTTGGGACAACGCTCTCATTAAAGTCTGGCTAATTTGAGGGAAAAATTGTGGTTTGGTTTAAAATAAGTAGTCATGGTTACAAAAATAGTCACATGGTCAACGTGAGACGCAGTTTTCTCACCTCGCATGCCATAGTAGGAGAACCTCTCGCAGAACTCATTCACAACAATGAAGAAGATGCTGAGCGGGTAACCAAACACCTCTTTGCTCTGATGGATCAAACAAACAGCAGCATGGTGTTCAGCAGGGTGGACATCTTTTTTATAAATCATATATACCACAGCAAGAACAAATCCATTACACATTTAAAAAAGTGAAAAGTTAAAGCACAAAATTGTCAACAAAATGTACTTTGTGTATACAATTAAATGGGCTCATTTAGCATGATCCCTGCTATTTTATATTACTGGATCCACATTATAAATGCATTAACATGTAAGCGTCATTCCATTAGTCAATTGAGTTGGAGCTAAATTTCAATGCTTTAAAAAAAAAATAGTACTAGCTGTAGAAATAATTGAAGTGGAGCAAAAGCCCAACATTTTCATCCGAAATGTTACAGATTAAACTTGCATTCGTGAAAAAAATACATGAATTACTTAAGTAGTGCTTGGTATTCACTAACTTACTGTAATGGCATATTGAGATGGTTGCTTTGTTCCTATGGATTATCATTTAGATTTAGGGAACAAAAAACCCCACAAATAATTACATCAATGACCAATAAAAAAGATTAAGTACATTACCGTTCCTCTGTTCTTCCTTTCTTTGTTAGGATCCTCGTTATCTGTGGACAAGATTGAACTAGCTTTAATAACCAGCTTTATTTCTCAAAAAGTGAGGGCTGCATTAGCCTTCATTTTATAATTGAAAACAAATCAATTTCCCCAATGTTTCAGATTGAAATTGAGAAAACAACACAGCTGCAGTTCAAAGGTTTCGACAGGTTTCGTTCTGACTTGCCATCGGGTGTCGGAAGCTTCTGCAATTCGACATATTTCTAAGGGCGACCATGGAAATTCACAAAAACAAATGTTTGCAAACCTACCCGCCATGATGTTTGAGTGAAACGGCTGCCCTGCAGTTTAAAATCCCTTTGAGAGAATACCTGCAGGGAGCAGTTGACAATTGATCCCTCACTGTTGGAGTGTTTCTGTAATATTGCTTCTTATTAGTACCTTGATCTGTCGTCCACTCTGCTGACTGCGTTGCTTTTATGATGGGTGGGAACATGAGATATAGGAGATAGGAAGTGAGCTATGTTCCATAACTGACACCTCATAAAAACTCCACAATTCAACCAAAACAAAATGCAACAACACACTTAAATGCAAGTGGAAATAAAGTCAGATTTCATGAAAACAAGTGCAGAGAGATGAGTGTGTTTTATTTAAAAGAAAAGCATTAGGGTACATCTCTGTTTACAGCAGAACAGTGACTTTGTGTTAAATAAAAATAAAAAACCCATTGCTGTCCAAATATAAAACAATTTCTTGAACATTTCAATAAACACTAAAATGGTAAAAGCTTCTTATTACTTCCACAGTAGGCATAGTGTTTTTATCCACACCTCATCGCTTTGGCAAGAAGGTGAACATCATCTTTACAGTGTATGAGCCCCACACAGCAAGATACAAATATTGCACACACTCCTTTTTTATATACATTAATAAACATTGTGGAATATACTATTTTGTTTGCAATGGCTTTAAATATTTAAAAATGCTCCCGTTCTAAGACATTGAAGTGATTTAAGGTTGAACGCTAACACGTGTCATAGGAGGCCCTTTTAGTAGAAATATAACTTCATGTACAAGGAGAGGAGTGTTGACGCAGCATATACTGTCATCATACAGTGGTATATAAAAGTGGAATACTGTACATACAAAAAACACAAGTGAAACATTATCAAAATAAACATAAAATGGACTGTTGGGAGGGTGGTGGGTGTAATGTAAAGACATGCATGTTAAAGGTCCCAACAGGAATGTCTCCTTGGAAACACGGCCCAGTCTTTTCAGGTAGAAACAGGTGACACAATATGTCTGGCCAGAAAACAGGAACAAAGTCTGTCCTGCAAGACCCTCAGGCTTCACCTCAGTACTGTCACAGACCTCCAACACAGTGACCAGCCGTGGATATATTAATATATAAAGTAGGTCCAGTGCCTTGGTCATGGTTCTCGAGGAAGGTGGTCACTGGTCTGTGCCTTTTACAGTTTCTCTTCAGCTGACTGAAGAGAAGCAGGATCAGGGTCAGAAGCGACAGTATGGCATCACCAGCAGGCCTGGTTGGCGAGTATAGCGGGCGCTGAGTTCAAGGCTCAACCAGCATCATACCACAGAGGAAGAGCTGGGGATGCCGTGGATGGTGGCACTGGTTGGCGTGCGGCTGATGGCGTTAAAGATGTGAAGAGAGTCTGGAAGAATGCTCTTCATGCCATCTTCCACAGGACTGATCTGGAAGGGAAGAGAGAGATATTAAAAAACTATTTTAGATATTGTTAGGTCCCTATTTACTGCCATATAAAGCTCTTATTACTAAATCCACCAAGGAAGTTTGGTTTTGGTTTCAGATTAACTAAAGGCCTCATTTTCATGACACAAAAACCCATTATGTTAGGACTGGGTCTCTTAAACCCCTTCCATGAAGATCAATAGAAAATAAGTAAAAACAACCAAGCTTCTTAACATTAACACACAAATAAACAGACAAATCATGGAAAGTATTAATAAGATTGTGCATATTATACAAAAACACATGTAAGTATATAAGCACACACTTTATGATGAATGTAAATACTTAGACACACACTGTTTTAAACATGCAAATGTATATGTTCAAATATACATTTCAGTCCATGCATACATAGTACACATTGTACACACATGCAGAAACTACATGTCAGCAATCAAAAGAGATAAGTCCAGAAATGATTGTTGATCTAGACAGCTGCTGCATCCTTAGTAGATGGGTGGGTTTTGAGATTTGACGAGGCTGAAACTATCTGATGATTTATCAATTATTCTGCAACTATGCTGACAAATACATTTTACTGTAAGATGAGAGCACTTGCTGCTTATCTTTGTCTTATTTTAAAGACAAGGAAAAATACTGAATATGACTGAATATCTTTTTAGATAAATCGTTTATGAAAATAACTTTTAGTTTCCTCCACATTAAAAGAGGTTAAGCCTTTCTTAAGGACAGTGGGCATACCTTCAATGTGTGACAATATGTAATGTTAGGCTCCTTTATTTATTACAGGCATGTAAAGATAAGGTTTGTCTGTGATTTGTTCAGATAACTCAGGAATATTATCTATGTATTCTGTGCTTTTAAAGTTCAATAGAAGGGCCATAGCTGGAGTTTTACATATTTGTTTTGGCAGGTACAGGTAAACTGAGGTTTATGATTAAGCCAATCACCCAATTTGACATATTCTAGAAATGTATGAAAGGTCTAGGTCAAAAGTGACTTTGAAATCAGGATTTGAAATGGTTGGACATTGCCACATCCAATAGCTGTCAACATTGAGGGTAATATCTGAAAACAGATGCCCATTGTCAGGCTGGATCAACAAGTACCAACTCAGTCTTTATTGCATTGTGTGCATTACCATCCAATCTGCTCATGTAAGCACAAGGGAAAAACAGAGAATGGTGTTATTAAAGAGCATGTTTTCAATCACAATATTACTTTTAAAGAATGGCAGTCACACTTGCCAATTAACAGTTGTACTATTAGCAATGCAGAATTGAACTCACTTGTTCGTGCATGATGATTGACAGCTCTCTGGCCAGGTCTCTGTAGTTTGCTTTCATCTCATCGTGATACTCCTGTTGGTCTTCTTTTATCAGACGCTCATTAATACCCAAGCCGTGACCACAGGCTTCCACAAAGTGCCTGTTCAACAAAACAAATTGTGTGTTTAATGAATTTTAAACTAAAAAGTAAAATCACACATAATAACCCGTTGACATCTCATCTCACCTGAAGACCTCTTTCAGCTGTTTGACCTTGTTATCTGGGTTCTTCTTGGCGCATGCTTCGTCCAGGAAAGCTCGTGCATATGCAAGCGGCCCTGCGTTAACCTGAGGGAGGAAGCAGGACGTGTCATGTCATGTTTTCTTTTTCATGATTATTACAACAGATTATGTCTAACGTATGTGCATGTACATTTTGACACATTTTAAAGCAGGCACCTGCACGCTGATGCTGCCCTGCAGTTTGAGCTGCAGACGGATCATGTCCACGTCAATGGAGGAGCACAGCTGTTTGATCTCGCCCACCTTCTTGCTCATCTCATCGATGGCCACCTCGATGGGACTTAGATCAGTGTGGTGTTGATACATCACTGCGATACGTTTCTTTACGTACGGGAAACAATGTGTGGCTGGGGGAAAGAAACAGGAAAAGAAATATGGTAAACAGCTGGCTTTAGTTTGGGAATCTTTTCTTCTTGCATGTGCCTTTCTGAGATTCACATCTCCGGTTTAACAGTGCATCTTCGAAAGCTGTCAGATAATAAAGATAAGAGTGTAAGGTTGAACTTTTGGACTTTTTGAATGATAAAACAATATTACTGTGATTAGGACAAGAAGTCCTTGACAAACTGCTGACATGTTCAGAATTTAATCAAGATCTTCCAAGAATGCACAGGAACTTTCTGCCGAGTTATGTAATGCCTCAACAACGGATTCCCACGTGACAGACATTCACATGGTGCCTATTTAAAACCCGTTTACTTAAAATGTATCAATAGGCAGACAATTGGAAAGGGTGGTCCACAGTTTGGGAGGAAAGGGAAACATTTACCTCAGATTTCGAAGCAGGACACACTAAATAGTCTATTTTCCCTCTGGGTTCCATAATATAACACTTAAAGATCAGTTCCCTAGTGATGAGGAGATCTACTCAGCCTGTTTTAACACAATCTATTCTGTCTCACTGACTGTTCTGCACCAATATTGACGCTATTTATTATATTTTATTTGCAAATCCACCAAGAGATGCCGTTTTAAAAGCTTATGCACCACTGCCACCCACAGTATATTTAAAGGTTACCTACTGGTTAGTATCGTCCTGCGTTTGCACTGCTCCTCCACCCCGCCTTGCTTTTTGCCTGATATGGTGAAAGGCATCTCAAACACAAAGCGGCGGATGTTGTGGGACTTCTCGAAGTCTGTCTTCCTGTCTACTTCCTCCTTCTCCTCCAGGTAAGGGGTCACATGTGTCACTTGGATGTATGCATACTTGGAGTCCAGGTCTTTGGGGTTAATCTGCAGAGAATCGAGTCATCACAACAGATCAGTCCTGCATTTTAATAATCTTATAAGTCAATCCTCATCACACATTACAAATCTTACCCTGCCAGAGTCCTGGATCATCTTCACGTTCTCCTGTCCAAACTTGTCAGAGTACAGCTTAAGGAGCCGCTGAGATACCTCTGACAGAGGAGTGAATTTAGGTTCTTTGTAGATGTACTCCTTACCATCTTCATCTTCAAAAAAGCCCTAAAACAAACGGCCAAAATGAGTAAGAAAACAAACACTGTTTCTATTTAAAGAGATATAAAGAAGCCACATCAAACCAAACAAGGAAGGTGGAGTCATTCAAACAATTTGCTAAAAGAAAATGGTAGACCCCTTTTTACCACCACGTAGCTTTGGACTGAAATATCGTCAGAATCCACTCAACCCTCTATCTAATGTCCAAGCATGGAAACAGGAAAAATAAAAAGTCCACTCCAAGAAACCAACCAGTATCAGTTTGATACAATGAGACAGAGTAAAGAACACAGGTGGGGGCACAGATTTCACACTATCAGTGGGAGCACTTGGATCAGTCTTGTATGTAAATGGTCAAATGGCCCATGAACAGATGGGCGAATCCATGTATTGACCCAGTGATAGGTGAATCCAGCTATTAGCCCTCTAAGGGTCTCAGATTAGTACAACACTGCAGTAGGAGGAGTAAAAGGCTAAAAGATAAGCAATACAGATAAGATATCACCGACACAACACAACCTAACACATCACTGCAGTCTAACAACAATGATGGCTTTCATATTGATTTACCTTAGCCTCTGTGTTTGTAAAGTGGTACTGCTACGGGTGTGTGGACAGCAGAAAATACATTCATTGTTATTCCATGACAACTCCTTACAAACTATGAAAAATTCAACACACTGCAACTCACACCAATTCACAAATATGACCATCATGTCAAGATCTAAAAAGAACACCATCAGATGAAAACCACATCAAACTAAATATTTATAAACCTAAAAGTCCTAAAATCTGCAACACAAAAGTAGAAAAACTTGTATCAGGGCAAAGGTGAAAGAGCACCATACAGCTAAGTTTCAAAAACAGAAAGCATCAATGGTGACTGATGTTATCGTAAACAGAAAACTATGACTGAGAAATGCAATGATTACAGCAGCAGCAAAACCACACAAAGACTCAGGCTGCTCTGAAAGGCTAGCAAGGTCTACTGCACAACTTACCGCTGCCTTCAAAGAGGATAAAAAGCAGAAAGGGGTATTAGAGCGGATCATAAAATGCCACTGCATGTGATTATGCTACTACAGAAAAAACAGGGTCATTGTGCATTACTTTGCAACACCAGTGACCTAATTAATCATTGTGCTATTTCTTGAAATAGTCAAATCAAGCAATCTGATTGGTTCTTAGCACTAATATACTGAGCGTATACCACGGGTAGAATTGTAGTTACTTTTCACAACAAGTCAGTATCCCTCCGTGTCTGAGAAAAACTGTATACAGATTGCTTTTCAAACTGGGACAAGAAAACAGCAGAGAAGTAACATATACCACGGCCTGTCGTGAGCTATTGCTTAATTATACAGCACTTTTGGTTGTTTAACTCACCTGGCCGAAGAAAGCCACTCTGAAGTAGGTGCCCAGCAATCTCTTTCCTGTGTGCATCACCTCTGTCACTTTGCTGTATGCACGATGCAGCGTGTCATACAGGTGGGCCAGTTTCTGTGCAAAGAATAGTTTGATCAGAATGTGTACACACAACTGAGTAGGGACTAGAGATTGTTTTTACTACTTGGTAAACAGGAGTAACAAGGACTAGTGGTGTTTACCTCGGCGTGGAATGATGCGAACTACTTCTACAACTAAGAGGAAGTGTGGACGTCAGGGGAAATCAGGCTTTCTTGTCGAATCGTCCCTGGGTGGTGAATAACTAATAAAAGACAAGGGGGAAAGTGGCAAGGAGTCCTACAGATTTACTCGAAACCTCCTCACACGTCTACCTGACACTCGATCGCAATGCTCGAGTAGAGACTAGATGTTCGGTAAATATGGGTAAATACTCTTGCGTCCCCCGAACTCCCATGTAAAGAAAAAAAAATAGGGA